GGAAGATAAGTGTGTAGTGTGAGTGTGTATGTCTGTTTATTCAAAACGAGGTGAAGAAAGTATAGCATATGAATAGGAAAACAGCAGATGAATAGGGAAAACATCATATGAGTAGGGAAAAACGGCATATGAAGAGGGAAAACAGCATATGAAGATAGGAAAACAGGATATGAATATGATAAAACAGCTTATGAAAGAGTTAGAATCCTATCATTTTTGGTTTGCACATTACCTAAGTGGAGAAAACTGCATCTTCCTTTTATATCGGGTTTCATTGTGTATTTTAACTTGAGGTTAGAGGTGTACCATGATTACTTTCAAATCCTCAGTTTTCAAGATACATTTACCTAAGACTAAAAGAACAAATTAGTGTTTTGTGCTAAACGTGGCTGATGTTAGTTATTATTTAATCTGCTCTAATCCTTTCTGTTTTCTTCAGTGACGTGTGGTTTAGGTGGAATGCACATAATAAAATATATGTGTAAACAGTGAAGGTTAAGTGGAATTATTGAGAATGTTAAGTTCATCATCAGGTTGTGCTCATAAAATAACTGACTTCATAACGTGTATGTTCTCCACCGAGGAAGTGCATATATATTTTAAACTATACCCAAAGTGTTTAATTGGTTATGATAATCAGAGACACGTGCAATCCATCGACGGATTTAATAAAAACTGCATGGGGAATTCTAATGAAAGTAAACAATTTTCTTCTGTTACCCACTTTCAAAGTAAGCCTAATTCTTTCAGGTAATTTGCGGGGCGTGTCTAGAAGGTTAGCGATTCTGGATTGTGAATACGAGGGCTCCGCACTTTAAGATATAAGAATGGCGATCAAGTCCCACTACTCGTTGAGATAAGAGTCACCTAAGAATTTCCGGTGAGTGTCATTAACTTGGTGCCTTATCTGTTATCGATCAGTTTAACACTGGGGACGGCTATGTGCGAATATTCTGAAACAAACAAACTTAACATACACGTGTAACTTCTCTTATCACATCTGAGTTTTACCTGTTCGAACTTTTATTTTCTCTCTCTATTCCTGGTTGTGAGTGTGTTTTGTACGGAAAACGTCATTCCCTGCCATATTCTGATAGAACCTGTACACATCGGCTTCTTTGGGCGTGTTCTTGTCTTTTTATTTCAGTTATCAATCCATCTGTGCTCTCCTCCCCTACCAAACATTTACAGATCATTTATATTATAATTCTTCCTCTGCCTCTTACATTTTTTTTTAGTTTAAATATATTTACCCCCCCCCCTCTCCCGTCAGTTTGTTTTGGTATAACATTGCACCTCGCCTAAATAACGTTTACAGTTATTCATGCTAATACGTTTGAGGTTACTCATTTTGTTTTATGGTGTTTACAGTAGTTTCAATATCGTTATTAATCCACAAGTGCGTCTAAGTGAGCGCCAGCAAACGTCGTTAGCTCGTTTCGCAACGCCCCAATATGGTGGGTGGAGCTACAACTTTATTTTAATCCTTGGACTTTTATGTGTACCGAAACAATCCCAAAAAGTGACATGAATTTCAGATTTTAACTTTTCTCTCCTTTGTGTGTTTTATCTAATATCCTATATTTTATGACTACACGTTTTACATTTGATAGATGTGGGTTTTCTCATTGTATTTTTAGCCCCAGCGTAGAGGCTCATAGAATGGCTTCAAGTTTGTTTTTCTTTAAGTACAAACTTTAAGCTCATAGCTCCATCTCTTGACCGATTTGAGATATATTTACAGCCGCGGCTATTGAGGATTTCATTTTATTTCATATCTAACTATGTGCTAAGCCTGGAAAGGGCAATTTATCAGAAGTATTTCGTCATTCTGTATTTGCCCGAACAGACAGGCTTGGTTTTCAGATTTTATTTTATTGTTTTTCTGTTCGTTGATATTCTGAAAGTTAGGTTTTTATTAGGTGTTTGCAGGTCTCGCTTTGCTTGGTTGCTCTCTACTTTCTAAGAGGGCGCATCTTTAATCGGAGTAATTTCACTGTTTAAATACACACAGTGGCGGATTAAGATGGGGGTTCAGGGGTTCGTCGACCCTCTCCCACGAGAGAATGAAATGTTCTCATACTTAAAAGAAATAATCAAGTCTAACTTGATGGGGTCATTGATTCTTTTTAGACTTCAATTAAAACCATTCTTATCGTACACTAGTGGAAAGCTTTCCTTTAAGCCTGGAGTTCAACGATATTGTTCATTAGTCTTAAGGCCCGGCATGGCCAGGTGGTTAGGGCGCTCGACTTGCAATCTGAGGGTCGCGGGTTCGAATCCCCGTCCCACCAAACATGCTCGCCCTTTTAGCCGTGGGGGTATTATAATGTGACGGTCAATCCCACTATTCGTTGGTAAAAGAGTAGCTCAAGAGTTGGCGGTGGGTGGTGATGACTAGCTGCCTTCCCTCTAGTCTTACACTGCTAAATTAGGAACGGCTAGCGCAGATAGCCCTCTTGTAGCTTTGAGCGAAATTCAAAAAACAAAAACAAACATCATCAGTCTTAAATATATGTTTAAAGCAAATTCATAACCATGTAATTTCAAACAACTTTTTCTTCTTCTTAGCGCAAAGCTGTACAGTAGACTATTCGAGTTTTGTCTGCCGTGGTGATCGAACCCCAAATTCGAGAATTATAGGCCCACCAGTCGAGTAATGGGTGACAATTCTAGGGGATGAGCTGAGTCGCCTGGTGACATCGAAATAAAAAAAATACTTTTTATAATTGCCTTTTGTGATATTATTTTCCAATATAATGATAAATCAACGTAGTGTCTCCGAAACTAGTCGGTTGTAAAGTTTTGTTTCATTCTGTCCAACATCGTTGTTTTCTTCATCTTACTTAGTTATCCTGCTAAGGAAACATAAAAACTTTGTCATGACAACTGCTGTTTACCATGGTTACTATACGTTTATATTAACATGAAAAACAACAACATTATTTGTAAAATTTTCACCTGTTCGCTGCTGTACATTGCATCATACTGCTTTCATATATTAACATAACATTCCTCGTGTTTACATTATTTAATCAATACTTTATCAAAATATTTTTACTGATATATAAAGTAAATAACTTGCCTAAGCCTTTCAACTCGTATATCACGTGTACAGAAGTTTCTTCTCTATCTCCAGCACAACGTATAAGGTTAAGTATTTATTTTAATAAGCAATGAGAAACTCGTCCACGTTAAAGGAAAAAACAAAACAAAACAACATTCTCACGTCAGTTTACGGACTTAAAATGCTAAAATCCGGGATTTGACTCCTTCTGGCGGACAGAGCACAGATAGTTCATTGTGTAGCTTTGCACTAAAAAACATCAACGGAAATATATTCGTAACCATGGTTACTACGGTAATAGTGGTAATGTTTGTAATGTATTAAACGACTTGTTGGCATAAGATCACGTAATATATATAATATACACAACTACTTTCGTCCTTGGATAGGGGCGTCGCTAGCCACCTAAAATATTCGGGGCTTGGGCCCTAAGAAGCACCTACTACTACTCCAAATAATTAATACATAATCACAATATAAAATATAATAGTTTACGTAACATCTTAAAAACGATTTGGGGCACTGTGAAATACATCAAGGGCACTCTCCGGCGCACAGCAACATTCCTAACCATGGAGCTACATCATGTGAGATGTGCTATTTTATATTAAAAAATGGGATAGGTTTAATTATAGATCACATTATTAGCCTTGATTTTATCACATCATATAAAGCAGAGATAAACTTTAAGGCTTCGTGTTCATTTTAATTATAGATCATATTACTAGCCTTGAGTTTATCACATCATACAAGGCAGAGATAAACCTTAAGGCTTCGTGTTCATTTTAACTATAGATCATATTACTAGTCTTGATTTTGTCACATCATATAAAGCGGAGATAAACCTTGAAACTTCGTGTTCATTTTACTTAATACACCACATTTTAAAATCAACTATAAAAATATTACGCCATTATAAAGAATATTTTAGGGTTACGTGCACTACTTTGATATAGACTTTAATGCCTAGACTATCTGTTGATATTATACATGGATACCTAATACGATCTCTTGAGGGGAGTCACGAGTTACGTGAGCTGCTGATTTAGCACAACGTTTAAGATGCAACTAGTAATATTTTGTATCGCTTAACCTCAATTTTCATCTTTTTTGTATGTTTGTTTTAAAATTCGCGAACAAAGTTATACAAGGGCTGTCTGCTAACAGCCTTCCCTAATTTTGAAGTGATAAGACAAAAGGGAAGGCTACCTGTCAAAGGCGCCCACCGCTAACTCTCGTATTATGGAAATCGGTGCTCTTAAAGCATACCCACGGCTACAAAGTGTGGAGCGCATTATTTCGGTAACGGGATACGAACCTTGAACCTTCGGATTTACAGGCCGGGCAGTCTAAACACTTGGCTCACTACTGAGCAAAAACCATGCATTTCACTTTTTTTTTTATCCCAAAGTATTTGAAAGCGTTGCATTTGTATTGGTTCTCTGACTACTGTAAACAGCTGTTTTTGCCCCCCCCCCAATTGGCACAGCGGAATGTCTGCGGACTTATAACGCTGGAAATAGGGTTTCGATACCCGTGGTGGGAAAAGCAAAGATAGCTCATTGTGTAGTTTGCGCTTAACAACAATGAGATTCATTAAACAATACTGAATGCCAGAACAAGCATGGATAAAACATTTAAATCTTTATTTTTTATGATTAAGTGTTGTTATTATTTGTACTAAATAACAAAATCCCTCATTTGTAAAGTTGATGGGAAAAATCTGTTAATAAATATACTACAAAAAATTAAACCCTGCATGATACACTCTGAAAACTGACAACCAAGATCATGATGTGAACATCACTGTAACCCGAAACACACTTCCGCTGTAATGTTGATTCCGGTTTTTTACTTCCGTTTCCGGTAAGCCATCATGAGCTCGAGATAAGAAAAACTCGTGTCTTGTTTTTATGCCAACTTTATCAGAGCTAGCGTGTCGTATATCATAAAGTATATGTTTGGCTAACAGACACCTAATATGAATTAATGTTATTGTTGTTTGTAAAGATTACACAATAATTATGCAGATGTCGCGTCGCAGTAAGTGACGTAACCATCAGTTAAGGTGGAGGGTGTATGTGGAACACGCTGGTTTTGTAGAAGTTCCTAAAACGTTATTCCGACTGAATATATATATATATATATTAGTTTGTTCACAGCTTAATAAACTTCTGAAGAAGGTAGAGATCTTTGTTCTTGAGGAGATAGGAAATTTTTATTAACGTAGAAGTCTGCATAACCCAAGTTTAAGAAGTGAATGATAAAGACGCCAAATGTGGACAGTTCAACTTCAAGGTCAATTCCATGTGTGAAGCAGTCGACATTGTAGGTTGGTGTCGCGTATACAAGAAACTCGAATACCCGTTTTTGAGGTAAGAAGAAAAATATTAGATTAACATAACGTTAAATTACATTAATGTGTTGGTGTTATCTACTGCGTTCGATAAATTGTGACTTCAACTTAGTTAAGACTGACTGCTCACCTGCTGTCTTTGAGATTTAACATTACTGTCTTGTTAAAAAATTCGTTACAAAATACACATTAATGTAATCAATATAGTGGTTAAACTGTGTAAGAAAACGTGTTCATACAAACTAAAATTGGTCGAGAGTACTAAAAATAAGACGTCTAGATATATCAGCATTTAAAATACTAACATAAACGCATAGGAAAGAAAAAAAAGGGGGGCGAACAGTTTTTTGTTGGAAATTTTATTTTTATAACTACGTTCGAAAATATCAAGATAGATAAACATGAAGAATAAAATAAGATATACTGGAAAAAGAAAAGTCACGCAAGTAATGTGCGTATCTAGTTAATTAGAATAAAGCGCCTCCCCCCCTCCCCCAGTGGCACAGTGGTATGTCTGCAGACTTGTACTGCTAGAAACCTGGTTTCGATACCCGTGATGAGTAGAGCACAGATAGCCCTTTGTGCTTAGTAACAAACAACATAATAAAGCGAACATTGTGCGGAGTTCTGAGGGAAAGCGCTTCAGTTATATCGAGATAAAAACTGGGAGAATTTTATTGATCTCGAGAAGCCGTTTTCTGTTAAACAATATAGCATTGTAAACTTGCAGTTTGGTCTGATTTGCTCTACGTTAAACGTCAGGAGCGTGGAACTGATGGCGTAGTACATACTATACTGTAGTTTGAGGTACAAAGTTCGTATAATAAATCTTGTCATATCGACAGATATGTACAGTGGATTGTCAAGTGGAATGAATTTTTAACGAAGCTAGACACAGCGTGAGGAAAAATTACCTGTCCCAATGCACATAATACATGCTACCAATGTGTCGCTAGTCTTTTTTTATTCTTTTCTTTGTGCAGAAAATTAAATAACCACTCCCAAAACGTAGTTGTGTGCTCGTACGTTGGTTTTAGCTGTTGACAACTGAAATGTAATTAAATCTGAAATGAAATTGTAACTTATCATTTGCATTTAGGACCAAGACTTTGTTTGTTTGTAATTAAGCACAAAGCTTTACAATATGCTGTCTGTGCTCTGCCCACCATGGGTATCGAAACCCGGTTTATAACACTGTAAGTCCGCAGACATGCCGCTGTCCAACTGACGTTTGCCTCACTTTGTGTTTCAGTGAAAGAAAGGCTCCCAATGGCACAGCGGTATGTCTGCGGACTTATACTGCTATAAACCGGGTTTCGATACCCGTGTTGGACAAAGCACAGATGTAGCTTTGTGTTTAATAACAAACACCAGTGAAAGAAAGCCACACCTGAAACAAAAATCATGTTTTTCTTTTATATCATCAATAAATACTTTTGTCTTTAGTAGTGCAAATATTAAAAGGGCGAAATATTGTTAATATGTAGCTGGTATTAATATTACTCACAGAACACTAGTCCTCGCTCTGTAAGTCCAAATATATTGATAATTCTTACTGTAGTGTTTTTATTGATTTTGTGAAGCAGTCTGTTGAATTCTTACAACTAATATATTGACTGGTTTATTCTCGCATTGGTTTGTAATCAGCCCATAGACAAACCGTATCCAGTGTAAAATACCTGTCATTTCTAAACTTCATAAATGACAGACGATTGGAAAACATTTCATACCCCCCTCTATAATATGCGTTCGAAATTAATGTATTGCCTACTAGATACCTGGACTTGTAATTTACTGTTTTGCTGAGATAATGCTATGTTTAGTGAACTATTGGATAAAATATAATTAAGCCTTAATTCAAATTGTTTTTAACCCTTAAATTACCGACTTGTTTTTATATCGTTTACTACCAATATTGTATCATATTGAGTAATATTGTTTATGCCTTTGCTTGTTAGAAAATCCAGTGTTAAGAACTGGTCAAAAATAATAGTTATAGTCATTAGTGTTCTGTGTAAAACACCAAGGGGACCTCAGCAGTAGTGGGATTAATTGCAACATTGATGTTATTTTTGTTTATATTTTTTGGGTAAATCATGTGATATTAGGGATTCTGTAACCAAAAAAAAAATGTCTTCGACCTACAAACAAGTTGGTGTATAAATAGTTTAGAAAAACTTGTTTCAAAATCCCAGGGAAACTCCATCGATAATTCTGGTGTTAGTCCTCATATTACTGTGATTTTGCATGTGGACGAGCACATTCCGTTTAGAATACGGTAGGTTGGGCAAGGCTTAATAACGCTGAGCTTTTCTTATTGTTGATCAGATAAACGAAACGTCTGTCAAACAGTTATTGAGGGGAGGTCGTCCCTCTCGATTTTTTTTGAAAGTATCTTTGTTCCCAATGCTTTGAAATGTTACATTGAAAATGACTTTAAATTGACATACCAAACCTTTGAGCGTGTATTTTTCGTGACTTTCGATTTGATAGCTTTGTAAACTCAGAACTGCTGTTCATATTTGTTTTATGCTTCTGTAGGTAAGCTGCGCGAATGCGTTGTCTGTGACAACTAACTATGAGTAAAAGGTGAGTTAACTTATAATTCAATCTTTAAATGATAAAAAAATCAAGAAACTGGGGGGATGATTAAATGGAACAAAGGTCATATTCTTACAGTTTCGCAGCGTATCATTATAAGAACATAATGAGGTATTATTGGGTTTACGGCCGACAATATTGTTAACGGCGAGGGTACCCAAATGATGAAACATTGCATTCTAATCTTTATAAGTAAGAACGTAACAAAAGTATACTTAATAACCTATATTCACTAATGGGTTACATTATAGTTTTATCTGAACAGGTACCCTGCTGTGATTAGTAGTTAATATACATCTATATAAGCGTGAAAATACATCAACAGCAAGGAATTTTATCGTTTAAAATCTGATTATTGCTATTATGCTTATTTATTTATTTATAATGTCTCTTCAATTTTCGTATACTGATAAACAGTATGTCCATACGATAAACGTGAGACAACAAACTTTCCGAGTTATACATATAGACATTCAAAGGATTGAAAACTTTTTATCGGAATGCCTTTTAATATTTTATTTGAGACAATTTCATTACCTTATTTTGAAAGATTTTTCGGACGAACTGAGAATCATTAAAATATCTGCTTTGTTATAAATGAAGAATGTTTCATAGAATAGCTCTAGTAAAATACTGTTTTATCGAACGGTCACTGTCTTTTTAAATAGCTCTAGTACAATACTGTTTTATCGAACGGTCACTGTCTTTTTAAATAGCTCTAGTACAATACTCTGTTTTATCGAACGGTCACCGTCTTTTAAACCTTGTTTAGAGAAATTGAGCATTCAAGTTAATTTTTACAACCCCTTCTTTAGTGACAACAATTACAAACCTTTCATAACCTCAAAACATTTCAGGCATTGAAATCTGTGTTTCTTTTTATGATTTCTACATTAAAAGATGAGTTTCTAGATTATAATAAAATGTACAAAATTTATTATCAGTTCGAGACATTCCTTCAATAAATAGTGTGTTAAGCACGAAGCTGCACAAATGGTTTATGTGTGCTGTTCTCATCGCGAATATCGAAACCAAATTTTGTGACCTTTTCTTTTAATTGTTGAAGACTTACAAACTACGTCACTGGATGCTATCTTTAAACATTTTTATGTCGTATAAGGGGAAAAATCAATCTCTAACACTGGTGAAAATGTTGAAATCAAACCAATCGTAAGAGCATCTGTTTAACATCAGACTTCCACTTCAAATTTTTTAGAGAATGGATAATTACGTATTTTCGAATCTGAAATATAGTTATCAATTCCATTTATAATTATATGCTTTTTAATGTTTAATACAAAGGCTAGTATTTCTGTCCTTAATTTTCATTAAATGATATATTTTATGACAAGTGATTTATTGAGAAGGGTGCTTACCTATGTTGAATATGTCAGTCTGACTCTGTTGGTAGTCAAAATGGAGCAGTTAGACTGTTTGTTATTTTGTAATCAAGACTCTACTAAGTTAAAGGGAATAATAGGATGCGATTAAGGAAGTACCATCAATATTCTAGTATCCAACTGCCTTTATAGTATAGTAGAAACTTGTAAGCTGTAGGAGAAGTTACTTTACACATACTAAAGTCAGCTTGACTCTCTAGATATCGTTCACACGATATATGGTGAGAGCATGCGAATAAAGGGCTCTAAAATATGATGATAAAGCTAGTTTCTAATGGATTTCCCGGATTGATGAATAAAATGTCACGATGCTTATTTTTCTACGGTGACCGAAAAATTCAGTTACTGTTAGAAAAAAAACAACAACCTAGAAAGTACTTGTTCGGTAATATCATTGCCTGTTAAAAATGTTCGTTAACAAAGTTTCGGTAAAGTTTAAAATATTTTTGTTTGATATTATGAAATACAATCACGATCTTTGAAATATCTGAAAAACGATGTTAACCTAACATCACATTTTAAAAATTGATAAATAACTGGAACCACGTGATTTAAGTATGTCTACCGTCTTAATTTCACACATGTTAAATACCAGATTATATTTTACCTATTTGTAACGAATTTTAATGCAGCATTTATATATTATTAAAATCCATTTTTCTCCTGTTTCCTTGTAGGAACTATTTGCAAGTAATTACCCGTTTGTTCTAAGCTACAGGTTTTCTTTTAATCATATTGTATGACACACGATGCATAATTCTGTACTGATGATAATTGAGATTGTTAATGTCGACTCCTTTCGGGCATTTTGAAACACCTACTAGTGTTCTGACACCAGTTGTTTGTTTTGCACATTTGCCAGATCCAAGGCTGACGAAGGCTGAAAATGCCTGATGGGAACATGTGAATAGTATGTATATATGTGTGTGTGTGTGTGTGTATATATATATATATATATATA